ACTTTGGCTACTTGCACCACAACAGCCCCACAGTAGATTTAGCCCACGTCCAAATTGATTCCCAACTGACCGGTAGCTGTCTGGCGTTGACAGCTCACAGGGCTATCGCCACTCGCTTCTCAACTGAGAGGGCTGCTCTCATCTTGGTATTCTGGTGCTTCAGGGCAGGGGAAAGCAAGTCACAAAGTTCCATGAAAGTGCCCTTACGCATGCGAAAGTTACGCAGCCAATGGGAATCGTCCCAGACCTGCAACACTATGCAGTCCCTCCAGTATGTGCTTGTTTCCCAGGCCCAGAATCCGCGTTCCACGGCTATAACCTGCCCTATTAACAGCATGATCTCCAAAGCACCGGGGGCCGCGGTTTGAGAGAATTCTGTGTCCATATCCTCAACGCTGCCGTCGCCGCCGCCGCCTCCTCACCTGGTTTTTCAGGTTCTGGTTCAGCACAGACTGCACGATAACGCGTGAGGTGTTTACAATGTTCATGACTGTTGTCTTGAGCTGAGCGGGCTCCATGCTTGCCATGGTATGGCGTCTGCACAGTTCACCCAGGAAAAAAGGCTCGAAACTGTTGTCTGCCGTTGCTTTCACAGAGGGAGGGGGAGGATGTACCCAGAACCACCCGCGACAATGTTTTTTGCCCCATCAGGCATTGGGATCTCAACCCAGAATTCCACTGGGTGGGGGAGACTGCGGGAACTATGGGATAGCTACCCACAGTGCAACACTTCGGAAGTTGACGCTAGCCTCAGTACATGGACGCGCACTGCCGAATTAATGTGCTTACTGTGGCCGCATGCACTCGACTTTATATAATCTGTTGTCAAAAATCGAATTCTGTAAAATCGGAGTAATCCCGTAGTGCAGACATATCCTAAAACAGGACTCCTGTATCCTGTTTGCTGCTCTGCATTAAGTCACTGTGACACCTTAGGAAAGTCACCACTTCGTGACTCAGCATACCCCTAAGTAGAATGGTTACAACAAAGGAAACAGGCTTGAAAAATGATGTAGGTAACAAGATTTTGCTGTCCAGCATGAATGGATGCAGAATAACTTTTACAACACCAAACAGCTGCGAGAAGTTTTCAATCATCCTTTTAAATGTTATGCCCCATCCCACTGCCTGACACTCACTAGAAAAACCTAGTACCCTGAACCACTTAAAAAAAATCAGTTTCAAGAACTGATCTTAATGTGGCTCAAGTCTTAGTTTGAATACCCGATCTGTACTAAGCATACTGACCAGGTAGCACAGACGCAATATAGTTCAACCCTTGTTCACTCTCCTTGAACATCTCAAAGTCAGAGAGAAGCAGCATACTCACATACATGGAAGTAGAAGGTAGGAATGGGAAAAGATTGCCTCCATGTAAGCTAAAGAAAGACTTACAACTAATGGACATTGTGGACAAGACAAACATCACTAAAGTACCTTAATTACGTATGGTTAATACCACAAAATCTAAGCAGAACAGAAACAATGAAGCTTTAATAAGTGTATAAAGGAGACATTTATGAAAAAGCAATAGAAAATAGGGTTATAAGATTTTTTAAAAATCCCTATATTTAAAATTACAATAAACCATAAGGAGAGCACTTTTGGAAACTGAGGTGGACCATATTGCAACTAAAAGCCTCAGCAGCATTTAGTCTAAGACTGTGATTAAATTAAAAAGTGTACACTCTAAGGAGTAAAGATAAAAATATCCATCACACTTTTACATTAAATTGGTATTAAGGCAAAACTACATCAGTGAAATGGCACTCTGAGAAAATATATTGGGAAGTTTTTATGACAGAGCAGGAGTACCATATGTTACATCTATATTATGTAATTAAGCCACTGCTCCTTTACAGATGGCTTCTATTCTGAGAAAGGAACAAGTGAAAGCTAGGTAACCCCATGGAGAGACTCAATCTCTCTGCTGAGGTCACACAGCTAAAAGGATTAACAGGTCAAAATTCTAGCAGATTTAAAAAGGTGTTATTTTGAAAAATCCTAAGGGAACAAATGAACTCTTAGGTAGCATTACAATTACAAAGGGAAAAGTCATTAGAACAGTTTCTCTGTATGTTAAGTGCTCAAAAGTTTGTGTGTAAAGTAGCAATTCTGGTGTGTGGGTTTGTTTGTTTTTTAAACTTAGAAAGCAAAAGCACAGAACACAGAGGCCTTGGCTACACTTTCAGCTGTACAGAGCTGTGAGGTAAACCTGTCTTCGTACAGCTGAGTAGGGAAAGCGCTGCAGTCTGTCCACACTGACAGCTGACAGCGCAGTGGCGTGGCCATACTTGCAACATTTGCAGCTGTGTTGGGAGCGGTGCATTATGGGCAGCTATCCCAGCATTCATGTGGCTGCAACGTGCTTTTCAAAACGGGGTGGAGTGACAGGAAGTGTGGGGGGAGAGAGAGTGCTTTTTGGAGCGTGTCAGCACTCTATTTTGCAAGTTCCGAACTCCCAGCCCCCTGCTCATTCATTAACTCACTCAAAGCAAACAGCAAACTGTTTGCTTTTTCTCTATGGTAAGAGCTTTGAAACCGGCACTTCCGCATTCCTGCAGCTGGTCACAACAATGGAGAGGATTGGCCACTTGACAAGGTGATCAGTACAGCGCTGCAGGGTGATTCCTGGTACACACTCACAGGGGAGAGTCGTAGCCACTCTGCTGTCTCTCTTATGCTTCTTGGGGAGGCGGAGTACCTGCAGCAGTGTACCCAGGGAGATACAGCGCTGCAAGTGCCCTGCCAATGTGGACGGGGAGTGAGTTACAGCGCTGTAACTCGCAAGTGTAGCCAAGGCCTCAAAGTGGGGGAAGACTTTCAGAGTGTTAGACTGGTTAAGGGTTAAGATAAGAGAAACAAGATATCTTTAAAAGTCTGTATCTAGAAGACACTGGACAATTTCAGGAAGCAGAATGTTCTTTAGACCGTACCCTCTTCCTTTTATTACTTAATACCAAGTCAGGATCTCACTAAACAAGAAATAGATCACTAATAATCTCTTATAAACCTGTGCCTGCTTTACTAGGTGGATTTATGTTACAAAAAGATTTCCTGCTGCTATGAAAAGTTTATTATTTAATAGATTTTGGTTAAGAAAGGTTTTAAGCAAGTCCTTTTCCCCACTCTGTTTTCTCTTCCAATCACATTTAACCTTTACCAGATTCCGTGAAAAGTCAATTAAGAAAGAGCAACACACATAGATAACATCTACCACCATTTCATACAGTAGGAAAATCACATACTGTACATCAAACAGCTATACAGAATATCAGACAGCTGCTCTGAAGTATCCAATTATAAAACTGAAGCGAGAAAAGTTCTAGATGGTCTTTATGTTTGTATTCTTTCATGGCTCCACAATTGGTATTGTGTAGTCAAAGAGAAAGGATAAGGTATTTATAGGTCATCATTAAAACCTGAAGTCTTTAATTGCTCTAGCCAAGGCACTCATTCTCTCCTTTGTTTCCTAGCTAGATGTAACGTTCTCTCTAAAAAATAGGCCTGAGCAATAATCACTAGTTTCCCCAAAAACTATGAGAGCTTACAGAACAAAACAACTATTTTGTTCTATATAAATTCTTATATTTTCTCTTGTATCTTCTAATTTTTAGTTACATAAAGTGTGGAAAACATTAACCTCTCACTATCTACATATAAACACATAAGAATTCTTTAAAAATGACACTGCTCCTCTGACATCTCTCCTCCAACATACCAAACGAACAGACTTTTTGCTCTCCAGCCAGAGATTTTTGCTATATCCATTAATCCATGAAATCTCAATGTTTCAATTTACAGACCTAAGTTCAGGGATAAATCCTGTTTATAATTATATATTTTAACAGGTTACTAGAATTAGTTAAAAATAATTTAATTCATCAAAATATACCAGCATACTTATTTACTGTCCGTAGTCCTGTAAACAAAGACTATTTAGAAAAGCCAGATTTCAACTGTAACACTCGCAGATTCTGCCAATTTTTAAATGACAAAGTAACAGCTTGAAGAGTTAAAATACCAGTATCAGAAACTTACCAAGCAAACTGTAAGCAACATTTAAGCAGCTTGAAGGCTGAACCCAGTAATCTCCTCCAGATAAATCAATTTTTATTTATTATTTGTATTACCATAGTGCCTCCCTAGAAGCTCAAGTCACGGACCTGGACCCCACAGCGCTAACATCAACAATGTAACTGACAGAGGAGTTGGTTGCCACAATACTCTAAAAAGTGAAATGTACTATACCAGGTTTACAAACAAAACAAACACACACACACACACACACACACACACACAGTAGTGAGTTTCGGGGCACATAAACATACCCATAAAATTGAAATATCTTTAAAATGTCATTCAGAAAAATTTATTCACACCTGACTTACAGATCTCAGTGTAAGTTTCCTTTATCAAAATAACCACATTACGTTTACTTACATCTTTGCTGTAAAAGAACTGTACAATATATATATAAAAAGTCATCAGCTTTCCCCAATTTTAATCATCATCTTCCTCTTCATCGCTGATCACATATTTCTTGTGCTTTTTACTTGCTTTGTCATCATCCTCTGCTTTCCTCTTTCCAGAAGGTTCACCTTCCTGAGGGTATAACAATATATTTCAAGTTAAAATGAAAAATTCACCGAGTTTATTTCTGTAAAGAAAAACGAAACTACTTCCAGTTTCAGTCCCCTTTTATAATACTCAGACTTAAGATTTATTTTAATATGATCAGTTGCATTGAGAGTACTCCTGACATTACTCCCAACCTCCACCACACGCTCTCCAATCTTACAGAATCATACCAAAGATTCAATTGCCTTGCAATTGTGCAGTTACACTGCTTCCTGGGCCAAATTCGACCCTGGTGTGAAAGCAGTCACGCATAACATGGACTCCAAAGCAGCATCTAGAGTTATAACACTTGGGTGTTTTTAGATGCACACCAAAAAATAAATAAAAATAAAGAAAGAAACCCTCCTGTCCCACAGACAGAACACAGAACCCTGTGTTACATTACTACAAAAGCTAAGGATAATTCTTCGTGGGGGAAGTCCTCTTCAGTGTCTGTAGAATAAACTGTTGCTCATTAGCAGAGTCCGCCATTAACAGACCAGAATGCCATAGAGAGCAGCAGAAAACACCATCAAAAAAAATCTGAGCATGGCCAGCGAGTCCCACAAACATCCTGATGTAAGGAAGGTATGTTGCCGGTCTCTCCGGCCCCACTCCTGGGGGAATACTGGAGAGTATGCTCTTCTCTAGGTGAAAGTTCTAGTCTTTCAATTAGACAGGGAGAGCAATTTCTGCTAGGTATTTGTAACTACCAGATTTGATATTGATGGGGAAATATAGACTAATAGCTGACAAACTGTTCTATCTTTCAACAGCCAATACATCTGCCAGAGAACAGCAACAACCATCATGTTTGAAATTATGTCTTATCAAATACAACACATTTAATTTTGCAGATGACTACAAAAGGAAAAGACATTAGTATTTTCAGCATATGGGATTTTAAACTAGTTTCTGTTCTGACTTAACACATGTCCAATGAGCAAAAGAAGAAAGGCACTTTTAAATAACTGTATAAAAATGAACAGGAGTACTTGTGGCACCTTAGAGACTAACAAATTTATTAGAGCATAAGCTTTCGTGGGCTACAGCCCACTTCTTCGGATGCATCCATGAAGAACTGGAAAATGTTGGGTTGGGCATAGGAGGGGAAAAAGTATAGGAAGTGATCCTGTCCCCAAAGAAATTGTACCAATTTAACTAAATCAGTTTAGAAACAGATGCAGTTAATCAACACAACCTCCTTGTGGGGACAACCTTTAATCAGTTTAAGAGTACCTTATATAATCAATTTAAGCTTAAGTGAGTAAGGAATCGAGTTAAGCAAAATTGATACAAAGCCCTCAAACTGATTAAAGATTGTCCATACAAGTTAAATCAGCACAACTTGTGTTTCAAAAAGGTTCAAGTCCCTGCCTCTGTTCAGTAAAACTGACAAGAATTTGGTCAGCTTCTTTGGGTACATCCAGACTACCTGCAGAATCGACGGGTAGTAATTGATCTATCAGGGATCGATATATCTAGACGCGATATATCGATCCCCGAACGCGCTCCAGTTAACTCCGGAACTCCACCAGGGCAAGCGGCGGTAGTGGAGTCGACGGGGGAGCCGCAGCTGTCGACCCCGCGCCATGAGGACCCGAGATAAGTCGAAATAAGATACGTCAACTTCAGCTACATTATTCCCGTAGCTGAAGTTGCGTATCTTACATCAACCCTGCACCCGCTCCCCCCCGCCCCGGTGCAGACCAGCCCTCAGTTAGTGCTAAGAAGGCACTAGCCAGGCACTAGCAGTGAAACTAAATGATCTTCCTGCTGCATTATTTCACTGGCCAGAGTTACCATTTTCATCAATGGCAAGGGAGTTTTTCAAGCTTTGGTCAAGTAAAAAACCATGCTCCCCAATGAAAAGACCTTGATTAGTATACAGTGAAATAAGGAGTAGTAGCTAATCAAAATAATACAAAGGTTCACTATCCTGACCGTTGATTGTATTGTTATGCAATCTGATGATGCATTATTTGTCTACTTTACTTTTCACTATCAGGCTAAAATAGTTAACATGCTAAGCATAAAGTTTTTTAAAATAATTTTTAGTGGAGTGCAGTCATAGCACACCAAAATGAGGTCTACTGTGTACTAATTCCCATTTAAAATTTACATGAACCGTAGATTCTATGTGGGTATTTATTTTATAAATTTAGGATAGGATAGTCATGAAATAACTAGCTTTGGATTTAATCGCTAAAGTGATTGTGATTTATGGGATTGCTTTTAGTATTTTCTTACTGTGTTTATTGATTTTATAATGTCCATATTAAGTTATATTTTATATATATATATATCCCACTTTATGTATTTGTACTGGAGATTTAAATGCTCGTTCCTTTGGCACAAGGGTAAACCAATACAAATAAAAATTTAACTTTATAAACATGTTAATTTTCAATCAAGTCTTTGGTTTCAAACACTAAAACACACTTCCAGAAATTCTATCAAGCAGTCATCTAAGATTTTCTGTAAAGCTTACAGAGACACTCTAAAACAGGGGTCGGCAATCTTTGGCACGCAGCTCACCAGGGTCAGTATCCTGATGGGCCGGGCGGGTTTGTTTACCTGCCGCGTCTGCAGGTTCGGCAGATCACGGCTCCCACTGGCCGCTGTTCACCGTCCCAGGCCAATGGGGGGCTGCGGGATCTGCTGGCCGCGGCTTCCCGCAGCTTCCCGCCACCCCCATTGGCCTGGAGCAGCAAACCACGGCCAGTGGGAGCCATGATTGGCCGAACCTGCGGACGCGGCAGGTAAACAAACCGGCCTGGCCCGCCAGGGTGCTTACCCTGGCGAGCCGCGTGCCAAAGGTTGCCGACCCCTGCTCTAGAACATGGTTAGGTCCCATCCAATCTACACAACAATACAGAAATATGCATTAACAACATTGTTGGACAACAATTTTAACCAAGTCTGCAAACACGGCTGATTTTACAGTGTAGACTGAACATAAGTACCATTTTGGTCAAATATACGCTTCAAAATAATTTATTTCAGAACAAATAAAAACAGAATTTTTAAACTTTAATCAGTACAATATTAAATACAGTAGGAAAAAGGGAAACACCTTTACAATAAGAAACTACTATGCAACAGGATGTTCTAAACCATCAGGTAGAATTACAAAGAATAAATCACTAAAATTTCTGCGTCTGAAATATAGTAAAGCATCATCAAGCTGGACTGTGCCAGGCTCTGAAGCAGATTATATACTATCTAATGTGGACAATGACCCACAGTGTGGGATTCTTAGGTCAAAAACTGAATTTATGCATGCAAAATTAAAAGTATTCTTTAATCACAGAATTGGGGGGGGGGAGGGGAGCATAAATTTTGATTGGTCAAGCAACCCCCAGTATTTTTCCCAACTGTTTCCTAGTTTATCCCATAGGCTGTCGTAAAAAATACCTTTTTTCATGTACGCTATGACTCAGCTATTTTGTTTTGTCATTCTGCATTTCCATTTTGGTCTGTTTGCTAAGTGACAAAATAATGTCTTTATAGAGGTTGGATGTCCAGTTTCCTAGTACCCTAACACAAAGCTGAATGTAAGTTGAGTTTTGACTTTAGGAAAAATATTTTAGACCTGATCAGTTTAAGTCAGACTTCCAGACAGCATCTCATTTCAATTTCCTATGAACATATTTGACACAATTAACAAAAGACACAGAATAATGGAAGCACTGCCGAAGAGAATACGTTTAGCGCACTAGCTTGACAAGTGAATCTAACCATGCAGTCTTCAGTCAGTCAAAACTCACATTGAACCAAAGAACTTTTGCCTGAATAAGAAATCCAAAACTGAGTCCAACAGTCAGCAGAAAAACTGCACAACATTGTTTCAACCAGTTAACTTCCCTGCAAGACACTTACTTATGAGTTGTTCAGAGTATTTTTCCTCGTTCTTATGATGTTCCCTGATTTGGTGTTAACCAGTTTTAAGAAAAAAGAATTTTCTATCATGGGAGACATTTTACATTGCAGCCTAATTAATTTTGATACAGTGAACAAATAAAATTGTTGATGTAATAATTTAATTTGTTTAGAAGAGAAAGATTCTCACTTGACTATATATATCACCAGGTCTAGGCAGTAATATTACCCCACTCTTCCACTATACTTAAGGACCATTGCTATTTTAAAATTGTTTAAAAAGTAGTGAAAGCTAACGTGGGATTTAAGAATTCTATTAAGACTCATTTCTGCTCAACTTTATCCAACATGACAAATTGACATTTATAACCTAGAATCTCAATGGCAACCCCTATCTGACCTAGGCATCTGAAAAGACATCTATCTAGTACAGGTATTTCGAAAATGCTCACTTTACTGTACAACAGAATTTCCCAAAGTTACATCAATGGGAATTCTACTTGCCTTTTATCAATATGCTGCATCACTTGATAATTTGTTGTTGGACAAAGCACTTTAGTATTGAGGACCAGCTCTCAACAACCTTTTTGTTTCTGTGTTTGACTAGATAGCCAACATCACCGTGCAGATTAGTAAGGTATCACTGTATTTGACAGATAAGTGCCGCGTTTTGTATATGAAGATATATATTGGTAAATGCCTCCAAGTCTCTATTTATAAACATTCAGAGTGTGCGTTGCTATATTCCACCACTGCCACATTACATTTTTTTAAGCTTGAGCACCCCTATGTGGCAATGTTATGAACTTCAGCCTTAAAATCAAATTGTTTTAAAATGGAAGGTGATGTAGCTCACAGCGGATTAGCTCACGACTCTTTCACCTCTGAGGAATCAGAATCAAAGCCTAATTGAGCTCACAAACAAAAATGAGTTTCGTGTTCACCTATCACAAAAGAAACAATTGCTAACATCTGCTCAAGGGAGAAAAACGACTGGAATTCCAGTTCAGGTGTAAGGGCATTAGCATAATTAAATGGGGTTACTTGCACACATGGACATACCCAGACTATAGGACAACGCTTCTACACTGCCTCACTTTCCAGAACACTAAATTCACTCAACAAATTAAAAAATAAACACTATTGGAATACTTTTAACACGACAAAGCTTTCAATGATTTGGTTTCCGTTATTTTACCACACTCCAGTTCCTTTTAGTTATTTAATACAAATGCCACTCTGCTAACATTGTAATTGGAATTATCTCAGACACAGCAACATAGAATGGAATCCTAACCAACATCCCAGTTTTAGCCACTGGGCCTGGACAAGATTAGGAAACAAATACACCTGATAAGGGTTTTACAGATCAGGGGTATACATCATGATACAGCGTATACATGTGCAGTATACACATTCAAATAACTTTTGGAGGAATAAAAGTTTAATCTTTCAATGTATTAAAGATTTTCCATATTCTAAGGTCACGTACTTCACACTGCAAGCTATACTGTATAGAAATCAAGATTCATTTTGAGATATAATTTTGACATTTCAGTAAGTGAGATTATGGAATTATAACATTTGTCTAACTTTAATGAACATAAAATCAATATATACCAAAAAACTACTACTAATTAACTGGAAATTAGGAAGGTAAGGTTAAGCAAGGTGTCATTCAAGTGCAAAAATCATTTTTTCTCCTTTTAATAGCATACCAGCATTTAACTCTTCCCCTTAAAAAGCAATGATCTATTAATAGTGCTGTGTGAAACAGGTTTCCCCTCCCCCCCAACAGAACTGTCATATATTTATCAGGGGGAGGCAGACAGTAAGGCCTGGTGGGTAGAGCACTGGACAGACTCAGGACCCCTGGGTTCTATTCCTGGCTCACTATGTAACCAAGGGCAAATAATGTCAACTGCTCTGTGCCTCAGTTTCCCCATCTGTAAAATGGGAATGATGCTTACCTCTTTTCCAAAAGGATTTGAGAACTCAATGAAATACCTAGGCTTTATTATTATGGTAAGCATATCAAATTTAACTGTACTGCAATCCAAGGGGCCATAAAACCTTGAAAAATCGCAACTTACAACTACTTAGCTGGATAAATATGATGTATCCAGTCATTAAAGCAGAAAGTAGTAATCATTTTTCACAATAATACTCAAAATGATAAAACAAATTGTTCATTTTCAGGTTTCAGAGTGGTAGCCGTGTTAGTCTGTATCAGCAAAAAGAACGAGGAGTACTTGTGGCACCTTAGAGACTAACAAATTTATTTAAGCATAAGCTTTCGTGGGCTAAAACCCACTTCATCGGATGCATGCATCCTAATGTATTTTCCACTGCATGCATCCGATGAAGTGGGTTTAGCCCACGAAAGCTAATGCTTAAATTAATATTAGTCTCTCAGGTACAAGTACCCCTTGTTCTTTTTGTTCATTTTCAATCAACCAACTTTCACCATAAAATAAAATGCTTCTCTCACCTCATCACTGGTTAGTTTCTTTGCCTTGAGTAGTCTCTGCGTTCTGTCTTCATCTGATCCCTCATCACTGTCTGAAGAATAGATTCTAGCACGTTCCTCTAGAAAAAGAAATTAACCCAGGTAAAGACTGGTCTGCAAATGCCAATCCCTGCCAAAGCCCCTTGAACTATACCATCACATATACTGTTTCCTGATATTTCTCTCAATAATGTGCCAAGATCTCACCATCTTAGTGGCAAACTATAAATAAATATACAAAATATAATTAAACAGATTGAGCCTTCTTTGTAGTTTCCTTGTTCATTATGCACTATTCTGAGAAATCTGTTATTTCACCAGGACTATCCCATGAAATCAGTCAATTCGAATTAGATAGTATCTGATGAGTGCAGCCTAACAATAAAAAAAAGTTACATTCATATTTTATTTGTACCTCTTATACCACCTTTATAGCGGTTTTTAATAGCTGCCAGACTGATTGCCTCTTCTCCTTCATCCTCCTCATCATAACGATCAGGTTCTAAATAATTTGCACTCAGACCACGCTGGTGCTGCTTCTCCCGCATTCTCCGCTGCTGGGATTCTCTGCGAATAGACGCTCTTAATCTCTCCTCTTCTTTCTGTCCAGGAAAAGCAATAGCATGTAAGGAACTATGAGGAGTAATACCCAGAGGGTATCTTTCTCCTATGCTTTGCACCTTGTGTAGTCATCTTACACCAATGCAAAGAAAATGTCAAACACGACCAAATCAGAATGGTACAGCTTGATGCTCACTTTGCACTGATGTAAATGACTACACACAATGCAGGACTATGGAGAATCAGGCAAAGTATAATTTATAATTGACATTTCTCTTGGTTGAAACATTTATAGCTTTAAGTTTCTTTATTTAATTTTTTATTTCATGCACATCAGAGTCAAAGGCTTAATTTCCAAGATTACAAAATCAAGTTTGTGAATGTTATAAGAATTTAAACAGTTTAAAAATAGCGGCAACAATGTGTACTTATGATTAAACTTAAATTCTGTACAATCATATAATATGCTAGGAGAAAATGTAATAAAGTTAACCATTACTTCTTATTTCTGGATTGCTGTGTGAATTTAACCTTTCCTACACAGAACAAATGTGATCAACACTGATTTGTTCACCCCACTGTGCCAAGAATGACATTTTCAATTAGCACTACTTTTCCTGTAGCACTGCATTGTTATTTTCAGTGAATACAATATTTTGAAAAACTAATATTTACACCTGTAGCATCATACTTAAATGAATGTTTGAGTAAGTTTGTCCAATCTCTAGATTTGTTTTCTTACTAAAATTAAGAATTATAACATATTTACAACTGTAACAAAGGAGTAATACAAATCCCAGAAGCAGAAAGGGGACCATGCTTTGAAGCAAACACTACAATTTTCTGCCCCCACTACTGAAGGGTTGGAAAAACTCCCCATCTTGTGGGGGCAGGGGCCAGCACCTTCTTCAGGACTCCCTTGTGGCCTGTGGAGCACCTCAGAACCACAGCTCTGCAGGGTTGTTTCTGTAGGTAATAGCAAATACTCCATGCACTGTGCTTAATTTAGGACAGCTACACCTCGATAGCAATTGTAATCTTTGCTGGCACTAGTGACACGTAAACAGTCAGAATGCAATGACGCTTTTAATAAATGTATACTTTGGTGTGAAATCTTTTGCACAGTTGCCTGTGTAATGGTCTTCAAACACATGAGAAGTCTAGTAGCAGAACAGATGACTTGCACACAAAAAAGTTGTTTTTGTTAGAAGTCAAAAACATTAATTTTTCACAGCCTTATAAATAAAGAAGTTTGGCTGATCTGCTTCCAAAAACTCCACGAACATCTCTTAGCCCCTCTGCCTTTAGGCTAAGCATGGGAATTTTCAGGCCAAAGGATTATTTGGAATGGTGAAGGGGAGAGATTAGAAGGGAAATAAAAGGGGCTAGACTAGAATAGGGCTAGTTTCTTTAATTATGAAATTACAACAGGCTCTAGAATGTTGTACAGGAGGCACAGCACTTCACGAGGAAGGTAACAAATCAGCAAAGGGCTGACATAGATAATCTCTGAATAGAAGAATTAGTCCCCTTAGCAGGCCAGTCTAGGAACGGCAGATTTAGGAATTAATTCTGCCACAAAACAGAGGCATATATTACTGTGATTATTATGCAACTGGCTGCAATGTTCACACACTTGGCAACCAACTTGACAGAATATACATGTAGAAATGCCTGCATTTGTGTCTTTGAACATTTATCTGAAAGAGACAAAGTCATCTTCCTGTGGAGGGCACTGTCTATAGAGTGAAGCCTGTTAGAAAATCGTTATAGGTTAAACACCCTTCTTATAAGGGCACCTCTGCTTTCTAAACATTAAGGTCAAATCATGGAAGTCTATTACCAAGAAGGGAAAGCAGCAGGGAAAAATGATAAAGGAACAAATTCTTCATATGCATGCGTATAGGAAGTTCCAATACAAGTTAATACATAAAAATTTCTGCTGACAAATACACGATAACTTCCATATTAGAGTACAGCAGCATCTAGACGCCTCACTCAGGATTGGGTCCCCATTGTGCTAGGCCCTGTAGAACAATGGGGTGGCAGCTCCCTATGCCATTGGTGAATTTGGGATGTAATTTTGAATATGCAAATTAAGTGTACACAGGCCAGATAAATATGAACTAGAAAGTCTGAGTCATTTAGCGACTGCTGGAAAATACCACGTCACCTTAAAATGAATGTTTATTTCATCTTAAAAATAAAGACTTTTCAAAATTTTACTTCCAAGGCCTTCATTTATTGTATTCTTAATATTTGTTTTTAATTTTGTTAATTCTGAAATTCTCTTGCTAACTGGGTACTTTACATTCTTACAATTTCTCCTCTTAGCTTACAAACAATCACTATACCAGATGCCATATCCACAGAGCATAAAAATGGATGCTGATAGAAATCATAACAATCTATTCTATGTCAGCACCAGAGGTTGCATCTTCATTTATTTTTCTAAAACTCAAATACCCAAGAATATTCAGACATGATATTTGCAATTTGAGATGAACAACATTAGTTCTAAGTTTAGGTCAAAAGAGCAATAAAACTCCTTATCGCAACTAATACCTTAATCATTTCTGTGCGCTGAGACTCTGGATCACGACCAGCCATGGGCAAGATACGAATTTTTTGGGTCTTTGAACATCTATCTGCAAGAGACAAAGTCATCTTCCTGTGGGTGGCGCTGTCCGTAGAGTGAGGCCTGTTAGAAAATTGTTATAGGTTAAACACTTCTTACAAGGACACCTCTGCTTTCCAAGAACAATTACTGACATGCCACAAATACAATCAGGAAAAACAGACTCATCCATACAAAAGCAAAAAAATTAAACAGAATAGATAATGTGTACAGTACACAAGAATTATCCAATAGATTAAAATAGATTTAGCAAAATCACCCTTCCCCTAAGAAGTCCTCAACATCCCCTTACACACCTAAATATTCCTCCTTCCACTTCACATTTATGCTTCTGGTCATAGTCATCATCTTCATAGCAGTGACGTATCGTATGGAGATTTTTTTTTCCCCCCAGAGAACATCAATACCCCTCCTGATTCACACCAAAACTTCTCATTTTAAAATTTTAAATTAAATATTAAAATTACAGACAAAAATATAGGTTGCCTAGATAGTGCAATAAATAGCACACTGGCCTTTCAAGCCTGGAGATTCGGTCTCAGACCTAGCTACCTTAAAGTGCAGGTCTACTCTGAAAAGTGACTATTGAAAAATGGCAGCTTCTTACTGAACAGCTCCATTCCCTATGTATTCAGTCAAAGTGAAATGGTATTTGTATTTATTTATTTACTATTATGCTATGGGAGAGAAGAGGATGCTGGCCTCTATTCTGGCTCACATATCAATGGAATCCCAATTTCAGGACCTAATTCTAACCTCACTTATACTTGTAAAAAGGGGAGACAAACATGGCAGCCTCAAGATGCCACTTTAAGGTCGCTTTTTAGAGAAATGTACTTAGGTCTCAAGTGTAGCTAGCATGCTAGTCTTGGTCTTCAGCGACAGTATAAACTCAAACAGTTTGGCAGTGTCTATACAATTGATATTCAGATCCGAATACGGCCAGCACTGAAGTCAAAAGGAAGCCTAGAAAACTCATGACTGAGCCATAGTTAGGTGTATACAGCAACATCAGCCTTACTTTTCAAGAGTCAGAAAATTTTTAAATAGTGTTTTTTAAAAAACAAAACCACACCTCTTCCATACAAGGTGTACTAAAAGAAGAACTAGTGATCCATTACTTTACTAATTCAGCTCCACCTTTTAATACCCAAATATTTCATACCAAAATGCTGTACTATGACTTCAAGCTCTGTTAAATGAACTGTATGTTTACCTGAAGGTTAATTTAGTCTTGAACACAGCCTGTCCCTGTAGACCAGTTCCTTGTCTGATAAACAGATGGTTGTGATCTCCCTGTAATGGTGCCTTGTACACATCAAAGACCTCATTGCCCAAATGCAGCGACATGCTTAAAAAAGGATTAATATATTAGTTATTTTTGTATTTATGACTCATTCTGCTTTTACACCATATATAAATGAAGGAAGCCTTCTCATTCCCTCTTTTTTATGCATAATTGAATTATTAGCTAAATAGTATAGTATACCACTCAAAGATCTGAGAAAACAATAGTTATTAATTCTGCAAGAACTTCAAACTTCACTCACGCCTCACTTTTATATGCAAGAACGTCTGACAACTATGTTTTCCTAGTCTAGATAATATAGAAAAGCCTAAGCTAACCTTCCATCTGACCACTTGACTATCCGAGCATTGCTTTCTCGAATCTCATTTCCCTCTTCATCTCGTCGCATTCGCCAACGTATGGTGTTTTCCACCTGTTGGAATAGAAAGTCTGTAAGCATGTATATAAAGTAAAAGGTGAACTAGTTTAAAGGAATATTGTAAAAAAGATATTACTGGGAGGTCAAGAATCAAGTGCCAGTAGTTAGCTAAATCTGCTGCATGCAGGGTAAAAGAAAAGCTTTTGCAGAACAGTTACAAATCTTCACTGCATCTAAAGAAAAAAGTAGATACAACAGAAAACAGCTACCCTGTTTCCCCGAAAATAAGACATCCTCCGAAAATAAGGCCTACTTACAGTTTTGCCTCTCGTTGTAATATAAGGCATCCCCCCGATAATAAGACCTCCCCGATAATAAGGCATCCACCGATGTGTACCGTATTCTTCTTCATTGAAAAATAAGACATCCCCTGAAAATAAGACCTAGCGCATCTTTGGGAGCAAAAATTAATATAAGACACTGTCTTATTTTCGGGGAAACAGGGTAAGTAATTTCTATGAGTGCTGAACTTGTTTACTTCTTGGTAGAACAAGAAGCAGGAGATATCTTTAACAGGGTGACTCAAACCATCACCTCTCAACACCCCATGCCTTTTGTTTTATATAGTAGTTTGAAAGAACCTAACAGGAAAGGGGTGAGATGCAGAAAGAAAATTACAGATATACCTTTAGTTTTAACCTTGTTCTACCTTCTTCATCAAGCATCTCCTCATCTTCAAATTCATCCTCATAATACTGAGGATCAAAAGGTCTGTAATAAATTAGATAATGTATTCTTTATTCACCCATCTTCTAAAAAAGCAAACCCATGTTATTCTAGGATTGCTAAAAATAAATTTGTGATTCAGTTAAATTATATATTACACACAACTGTAGACATTACTGCCATGGTATACATACATTTATTTCTGCAACCATGTAATAAACTGGAGAGGTTTTAAACCACAGAAGACCTACCCTAAAGTCTCTCAATAATATCAGCTGCAACCACTTCTAACATTTTAAATCTCTGAATAACTTTTTGTAAAGAAAAAGTCTACCTCAAATGTGGTATCCTCCCCTGATGTCCCATTGTGGCAAATAAGAGGTTAGGCCCGAGTCTAGTACTTGATATGTTCAGCCTGGTCCAGTGAGTTTCAAAGCGTGATAAAGATTTTGTGAATGATCCTGGTTAGGATGCGGGAATTCCTGCCAGGACAATGTTTGGCTGAACCATTTTTCATATGAGCCTAATACAGTGGTGGGCAACCTGCAGCATGTCCCTGCTGCCCGCCGCTCCCATTGTCCAGGAACCGCGAACTGTGGGGGGCCATGCCTACTGATGGTCAACGTCACTAAAATGTCTCGCAGCCCACAATCAGATTACCCAGATGGGCCGCAGGTTACCCACCATTATCCTAATAGGTGTTAGATTTGACCCAGTCCCACACCTAACCCATCTGAGAGAAGGGAGAGGCAGAAAAACAATTTTTCTTCCTCCACTAAGTCTGACAGCTGGAGAAGTCTCACTTCCTCACCCAGATGTTGTAAAGGAAAAGAAAGTGGCGAGGGAGAAGGTGTTAGTCTACTAAATTACTGCTATTTTAGGCCTGGTCTGCACTAAAAAATTAGGTTTAACTACATTGGTCAGGAGTGTGAAAACTCCTCATCACTGAGCAGTGTTGTTAAGTCCCAGTGTAGACAGTGCTAGGTCCACAGAAGAATTCTTCTGTCAACCTAACCACTACATCTCAGGGAGGTGGATTACGTATGCCAATGGGAAGAACCCCTCTCATCAGCATAAGATGTACCATTGTAGTGTTTCAAGTGTCAACAAGCCCTTAGTCTCCATTTTTGGGTAGTGACCCATTAATATATCCAGTATCTGCCCTTGCTGTTATTTATAGCTGCAAACAATGTTGGGAGGCGAAGCCGCGAAAGCGGCCAGAGTTGGCTGCACTTTACTTTTTGAGAAAGCTATCAATTGCTGCAAAGCATTGCAGTAGTCTGTCTGCAGACCCTCAAAGTCTGTACATCCTGACCCACAAAGGTTCACATTTGGAACATTATCTTTTCAATCATAAAGGCTATGGGCTCATAAATACTTCCTGGCCACAGAATAGAACATTTTAAAAATCAAGCAATGGGTGCATTGGGATAGAGGTGGTCAAAAGAAGAGTTCTCTTTAAAAGTGGTCTGCAGAAGGAGAATGGGAGAACCAACCAAACTAGAGTGTCAGGGTCAGGAACAAGCCTAGATTTGCAGGGAGATGGACACCTTTTACAAGGTCCAATAGTATAAGTCCCAAGTCAGTGGTATGTTTAGAAAAAGCAACACTCACATTTTTTGTAACTTGTTGATGTGCAGTTGGAGCCACACAGAGTAGTATTATAAGGAGCTACATGAATTTATTTTCTTTGAAATTTTGGATAAATGCTATGATCTGTGTTATACAGATGGTCAGTCTGAATTATCATAATATAGTTTCTTCTGGCTTCAATGAATAATCCAAAGTAGTGCTTCTATTATTCAAAAGTAGCCAAATGTAATAGAAATAAAAATGTAAATTAAATGGCTTACAATACACTAGAAGATTAAGCCTCAGACTGAGTAAATATGAAAACTACATGTTTAGAACTCAATGGATAATCTTAAAAGATGTCTTTATAATATTATGAACTCATTAAGCACATGCTACTGTTTCAATTCACTGGACTTTTAAAACTGATGTGTTGTGAAGATACATACTAAACTAAAAACCTGAAAAGCATGCACAGTTCTAGTAAATACATCACAACTGTGGAACAAAGTCTCTCTAGGCTACTTTTTATATTATGTTCAGTACATCATTTTTAGATTTGCAAAACAACGTTGCCTATTGAGAAAAGTCATACATACAAAATTAATGCCATTAATGCCATCAAAACAGATTTCCTGGATTTAGGAAATACTCAGGTCCCCTGAATAGGCTGTTTACTCTGAATTAAATCTCAAAGATCATTTGGTTTTACAACATATGGTGCATTATTCAGGATGAAATTATCAACGTTCACCAAAAACTAAAGCAGTGCTGAAGAAAGGCAAGACAGCTATACATTCAGGAGACTGGTGCAATGCAGCCACAGACAATTAAAAAGGACAGACTTACTCATTTGAGTTGCACACCAAGCTTACAAAAAAAATCACTAGTTCTTCTATTAATTTAGACAAGAGTGAGATGATGAATTTTGATGAAAAATGGCTAATTTCACAGGGTCAAATTAGTACAAATAAAAGGAGTTATTTAAAATTATGAAATGCATTACATGTATCTAACAGGTTGAACCTACACATTTAGTTTACAAGAAGACAGTAAAATGAAAAGTGATCTGAATATCTGATTGACTATCAAAGTATGCACCTCAGTGTTAATTATATTTAATGTTTGTCAACAGAAATTTCATTTGACTACTAGAACAAAAGGGAAATACTAAGTGAGAGTTTAAATAATTAACACCTTTCATATAGACTCAAATGCAGTATTACCTGGGCTCCACGCTGAGGAAGTTGGGCAGCTTCACAAAATACAAGTCATTTCCTAAGTCAGTGTTTACTTTTGGTATCTCTACTTCTATTCGCGTTTCTGGAATAGGTTCTTCTTCCTGTTGCTCCTGATTCAATCCATTCTCATCCTAATGGACGGAGTAGCAAAACCACTTTACATTATGTAGGTGAAAAAGCCAGACTGTTCAGGTTGTTCCACTGACCACTTAATTTTTGCTCTGAAACATATGGAAAACCTCTCTCTCTATCTGTCCATCCACCACCCACACGTAATTAGATTGTGCAAAGTACATGCTACTGAGACAAAATTATCAAACACAGTACTCAAGCCTGCCATCTAATGTGATTTCAGTTATGAATGTTAGCTCAAGATACCAAGAGAGAATGAAAGTAAAAAGCATGGGACTGATCCAAATAAATTGGTCTCCTATAGGAAGCTAGGAAATGGTGGTAACTTTGCCTAGACTAAAATTGGCCTTTAGATGTAAAGGGCTTTAAATCCACTGCCATCTATTCCCAAAAGAAAAATACTTTTCCAACAGGCCCTACTACAAGTATCAAGAACAGTTATAGTACTATATTCTTCTACTTGTTGACATAACCAGAACATACTCAAAATATATAACCACAGTTACAAGAGCAGAAAAACAAGTGACCCTATCTTACATTGCCATGTATAAGAGGTGAAACTGTTAACAGTGATTCTTTCTGCTTGGGCAATATCATTTATGAATTCTCATTAAATTGTCAGTCTTTCATTAAAGTGTGCTAAAACTCAGTCCTCTAGGATTTAAAACTCTATACTAGACTGCTTGGGCAGGTGTAAGAGGCACAGCAGGCAACTTCTTTCAAAGGACTTACAATAGGTTGCCCTGGAGTTGGTGGCTTGTCTTCCCCATCACTCCCTGAAGAAATGTCATCTGCACCTCCAAACAAATCTATCGCATCCCTGTGATCTTGAACAGAAAAATATGTATTTTATATATGGAGAAAAAGATAAATTGTTATATTCTACCACTGGAAGTCATCTACAAGATCATTAAAAGTGACCTGCAAAGGAGGGGGGAAAATTTATTTCCTATGTGCATTTCTCTAGGAGGTTCAAAGAGGACTTGAAAAGGTGATTTGTCTCTTCGCTCACAACAACAACAACAACAAAAAGTGATTTAAACTTAAAAATGCAGGTCACATCTACCTTGGAAGGACTCTATGATGACAGGAATACTACTGAAACAATGACATCATAAGGGCCAACAGTGAAAGCTGAGCAATTGAGAGAGACAGATTTTGGATTAGATGATCATTGAAGTTAAATTGGTGTCAACATATTGGACAAAGGCAGTGAAGTGTGGTAGGTAATAATATACATTCTCCGGGTCTCCCATAATCAAATAACAGACTCAATTTCCAGGGTCTTTCAGCAAGAAATTAGAATATAATGATGTCACCAGATTTTTCAATAAATAAATAAATAGTTCAATTTGTTGCCAAGGAAAGTGAAAGGCTGATAGCACTGGGTAGAGATTACTTCAAACTGTGCAAGCTTCCCCATGCAGCTCTATCGCTGCACCTTAGTTGTTATGCTCTGCAACTCACCAGATAATCCAACACTAGTTTTTTCCTCAGTTAATACTACCAATCATACAGAGTTTTAAAGTGAATGCATGCTTAATGTCAGATAAAGTAGAAGGGATTTGAAAAAACAGCTAGTTACCTTTCTGTCCTTCTGCATCGCTGTCCATTTCTGAATCTGATGCAATTGGTTTTTTACGTTTCATTCGCAAAATTTCATCTTCACTGTCACTGCCTCTTGCAGACTCTATCAAAGAGAATATATATCCTCAAATTAAGAATTTCATGCTGCATCTTTTTACATCTCACACTATCCATAGCTTGTATTAATAAGTAAACTAATTCAAACAACGAAAAAATAATTAAAGTTTACTGGGTGAATCAAGCGTTATTAAAAATACTCTATTACTGTTAAAACTCAACTGGAATTAATAAATAATTTTATAACCAAATCTGAATCATTTCAAGCCAAGACAACAGTAATATTGTTATGGACAAGTCAACAAAAAAAACCCACACATGACTTAGGGTCCTCATTGTAATGGTGACAGTTCAGTCAGTTCAGCATTAAGATTTAATTTGGTTTTGTTTATGAAAAGACACTACAATCAATCTTTGAGAAAAGGTCACCCCACACAAAGATTAATTATCTCAATTATGAGATGACTACAAGAACTCAATGAAGGTCAAGGATGATGATATTTTCAACACTGTATTCAATCCTACCAGATTTATGCTCCTGTTCCTCTTCATCATCTGAACGCCTGTGATCTTCATCAGAATGCTGGGCCCTTTCATCATCATCAGAATTCTGCATCTTCTCCCCATCAGAATGCTGGGCCCTTTCGTCATCATCAGAATTCTGCATCTTCTCCTCATCAGAGAGCTGAGGCCTCTCTTCATCATCTGAGTTCTGCATTTTCTCTTCATCGGAGTTTTGTAGTCTTTCCTCATCATCAGAAATTGGAGGCCTTTCATCATCATCAGAGTTCTGAACCTTCTCTTCATCATCAGAGTTTTGCGGCCTTTCCTCATCATCAGAATTCTGCAGCTTCTCATCATCATCTGACTGATCACTTTTGTCCTCTTTGCCCCATTTTTCATCCTCCGAATGTGCTTTTTCAGATCCATCTGCATCTGAGTGATGGCTACCTTCATCTGATCCGTGTCCTCTGTCATCATCGTCATCAGCAGCTTCTGAACCACTATGCTGATCTATATCTGACTGGTCATTATCTTCATGTTCAGAATGTCCCGAAGCTTCAGACTGATTGTATGATCTTTCAGATCGGATGTCACTCCCAGTATGGTGGGATGCTCCCTCATCCTCACTATCATCTCCAAATAACTCTTTGTTACTGGGCTTTATTGCCTCTCTGTCATCATCTCTGTCACTCTCACTTCCAGAAACATTACTGCCAGAGCCAGCATTCTCCTGATCAGAGTCAGAGTCAGATCCAGAGTCAGAATCTGCAAAATAAATATTACCCACTTAAAAGTGATTAAGGGGAAAGATTGCCAGATAAAGAGATAACAAAAAGATTAGCCCTTCTTAAGATAGAGTGGAAAAAAATAAGAGGGGACGTAAGAGATGCACCTAAATAAAGTAAATAGCATGTTCTTATTTAAATTATAAGAATAAAAGAAAGCTAATGAAGTTGTGACATTAAAAGAATTTTTTTTTTTAAAGGACAGATAACTAGTCTGTGATCTTGTCACCAGGCATCATTGAAACCAGAAGTCTACTAGCAGTCAAAGAAAAATTATACATTTATATGGGTCACGAGGAGACAAAGATAAATTTGATCGTTTAAAAAAGCTTTTTTATTCTAACATTTTATTCTGTTTATAACATCTTGGAAGTTCAAAACTGAAACTGTTTTCAAATCCAATTTGCTTGCCCTTCCCCAACACATGCCCATAGACAAATTTGCTACAGTAGAACTACTCATGAGTGCTGAGTTTGTGGCACTAACTTTTATTCAGGAAAAAAATAGTGTTTGTTTGGGAGAATAAATTACATAAAACGACAGGGACTTTGCAAACATAAAAAAGGCTCAAATTTTGGACAAGCTAATCTGGACAATATCCATACAGAAATTATTTCAACATTTTTCTTTGAATTGTTGATGACAACTGCGATGTATGAATTGTGTTAAGGAACGGTGATCACCACAAATGTATTTAAAAAGAGAAAGTTATAGAAATTATATTAACAGATTATTTTTCCAGATAAAAAGGAACAAACAGGAAACTCATGGAATACAAACATATCTAAACATAAAAATACTCAAAGAGTAAAAGGCTGATTTATCAAATTTATAATCAGAAACCAATTCTGCACCAATTTCATGAAAGTCAGTTTTCCCAGGTCATGGTAAGGGAAACGAATATACCATTACATGCACATTCACTAAACTCTCAGTCCTGAAACATATACTTTCTATTTTAGATGTATTTTAACTGGAACTGATGTATTGAAAAGGAAAGGAAATTGAAAACTTGTTTAACTAACATAATAAGACAAAAAGTTCTAGACTAAATCAGAAAAAAAGACAGATTTCCAAAAGACAGGTGATGAAAAGTGTGTTCTCTCTCCTTTCCTTTATTAAATATTAATTTTGCTCTACACCCGGGGGGGAAAAAATGCTTTGCCAAAACAATCCAGAATAAGAATATCTCATCCCTCAGAAATTCATAAATAATAATTTATATGTAGCAAATGTTGGCCCTATTTATACTGTTCATAAAATTAAAAACAGATCAACAGAATCTAGTTCAGAGGTGGGCAATCTACGGCCCAGCCCATCCTGCCTGGCCCCGGAGCTCCCGGCCAGGGAGGCTAGCCCCCAGCCCCTCCCTGGCAGAGTCACGCCACCGCACCGGCAGCACTCTGGGCAGCGGAGCTGCGCGCTCCTGCCGAGCAGAGCGGCAGCGTGTTTGGCTCCGGCTGGTGCAGCAGCAGCCAGACATGCTGCTCTGCATGCTCTGCTCAGCACGGTAAGTGGGCCGGGCCGTGGGGTTGTATAAGGGGCCGGGACAGTCAGGAGACAGGGAGCGGTTGAATGAGGCAGAGGATGGGGGAGGCGGTCAGGGGATGGGGAACAGAGGGGGTTGGATAGGCGTGGAGTCCCAGGGGGCCTGTCAGGGGGCGGGGGTGTGGATAGAGGTCGGGCATTCAGGAGACTGGGAGCAGGGAGGGTGGCTAGGGTGCATGGTCCCTGGGGGGCAGGTTAGGGGCGTGGGGTGGTCAGGGGACAAGGAGTGGATAGGTCGGGGTTCTGAGGGGGGGCAGCGGGAGGGGTCAGGTAGGGGACGGGTGCCAGGCTGTTTAGGGAGGCACAGCCTTCCCTACCCAGCCCTCCATCTGGTTTTGCAACCCCAATGTGGCCCTCGGGCCAAAAAGTTTTCCCACCCCGATCTAGTTGTGTTAAATTCATATCATGTGTGCCCAAGCTGTGACAATCTGTTTCACTACAGAGCTGGAATCCTTTACAATACAGTACTTATTAAGCAGAAAGAAAGCGGACGTAGGGGGGTTACTGTCAACAGAGAGAATCAGTAGAACCCCCCCGGGTTAAGAAATTTCCCGGTCAGCTGCTCAATCGAATCCTGGGGCTGGAGAACTTGGCCACCTTTAACAGCAGCTGTGATCAAACATGCTAAGATCCTGGGGTATTGCTAATCGTTGCTAGTAATGAAACCCCTCGGGTCCAGAGCCGGGACCAGGGACACACACCCCCGGCTGCAGCACTTGTCGGGCATCCCAGGTGCAATCACCGCGGAAGGCAGAAAGCCCGCCCCGATGGGCCAGGCTGCAAACCCCACCCGCCACACGCACTTGTTACTAAAAGGGGCAAGGCCGTGATGGAGCCCCCCGCCCCCGGGAAAGGAGCTGGGGGGACTGAAGGGAGCCAGCCGCCGGGAAGGATAAAGGGAGGGGAAGCTCCCAGCTCTGGGCGGGGAGGGGGAGACCCCAGAGGGCCAGTCGTTCGGGGGAGCGGAGGGGCCGAGGTTAAATACGGGAAGCGCGGGGGTGGAGGGGGCGGCCCGGCCTCTCTCCCCCTGCGGACCCCCCCGCCGGTACCTTTCTGCTCGGGCTCGGAATCGACGTCGCTCCCGAACAGGTCCTCCATGTCCGCCATGGCGCGGGCTCACCGGGCGCGCGCACGACGCTGCCGCAAAGCGCAGGCCTCGCTCGCCTCCTTTCCGGCGCTCCCGCACCACAGGGAAGTCGGAAGGGCCGCGGCGCCAGGCAGTGACGCGCTGCGGAGCGACTGGTTCCGTGCCGGGTCAGGGGGGTGGGGCCGCCTGTGCTGACCATGGTGGGGGTGAGGGAGGGGAGAAGCCTTAAAGGGGCAGCGTCCCATTAACGGAGCTCTCCCACGGCAGGGGCCCACAAGTCCCTCTTGCCCAGGGGTTCTCAAACTGGGGGTCGGGACCCCTCAGGGGGGTCACGAGGTTATTACATGGGGTGTCGTGAGCTGTCAGCCTCCACCCCAAGCCCTGCTTTGCATCCAGCATTTATAATGGGGTGAAATATATAAAAAAGTGTTGTTAATGGATAAGGGGGTTGCACATGTGAAAGGGGTCACCAGTACAGAAGTTTGAGAGCTACTGACTTAGCCCTGTCAGCCTGCACAGGGCCTGGCCACGCACCTTGGAGCACAAACAGCCACGATCCCCAACACCAGGACGCACCCGGGATGGGGGACAGTGATTTCACAAACACCTCCATAGCTCTGGAAACTGGAGTATTTGAGTTGGGCCAGGTGCGATGGCTGCTGGGATACTGGGGCCAGGTCTGGTATCCACAGGGCAAGCGGAATGCTGATACATTGGCGAGGGAGGTGAGGCAAACCCAAGAATGATTAAAGGGTTTGAAAACATGCCTTAGCATGCTAAACGATATAGCTTGAGTCTAACAGAGAGACGAGCAAGGGGTGACTTGAGTACAGTCTGTAGGGATCTACAGGGGAGAACAAATATTTAATAACAGGCACTTAAGTCTAGCAGAGAAAGGTATAACACGAGCCCCTGGTTGGAAGGTGAAGCTAGACAAAGCCTGACTGGAACTAAGGCATACATTTTTAGTGGGGAGAGTCATAAATCATTGGAACAATTTAGTCAAGGTGGAGTCTCCATCACTGTCAATTTTTAAATTGACAGGCTGTTTTTCTAAAATCTATGCTCTAGGAATTATTTGGGGGAAATTCTATGGCCTCCTACAGGAGGTCAAACTAGATGAGCACAAAGGTCCCTTCTAGCCTTGGAATCTATGACTGATGAGCTAATAATCCCCAATACCACTCCTCCCCACTGGACCCAGCCCCAGAGAAAAGAGCCAGTGATCCGCCCCACCATAGAAGCCCCATGACACAGGGTCCAGTGACCCCTCCTGCCGACCCAGTCTACCTACCACACAGGGCAACTCTTCCCAGGACTATCATCACATCCCCCATGGGTCCCTAGTTGCTTCACATTGACAGGATCTGGCATTTACCCAGCATGGGGACCACTGACTCAGGTTTGCCAGTCTACAAGCTTGGCCTCACTTGCAATATGGGGGTCAGGGCATCCACCCCAGTGACCTCCCATCCCAGAACTCAGGCATCCACTTTTTTTCTCTTCTTTGTATGGCTGATGTAAATGTAGAACAACTATAATTTTACATTTAGATGGTTAAGCCAGATAATTGTGTCTGGAGTAGCAGAGCGTATTGCTGTGATGCCTCCTTCATATTTGTGAATAGGGCATTGAGTTGTTATATGTGTGATGCACTCCATATGTTTATGGAAATATGTTTATAAGTGTAAATAGGATGTAGCTGGAATATGCTTTATGCAAAAGGTCTCTTGTAAGGTATCATTACAAAGTGTATAATCTACTGTGTGTGTTCATCCTATTTGTATGAATGTATCATTCTTGTATCTGAAATTAGGAATATGAAATATAAGTCTGAGGTCCTATTATAATTATGCAAAGTGTGGGCCATTAATGGTGGTTTGGAATCTTGATGGCCACCATTAACCAGGACAATTGATTGTAGATGGTTCTGTTTACTTGTAAGACTTCCTGTATACGTGTGTGCCAGCGAGTGGGTAATGAAGTCTCACAGGACATGGGATCATGTCACCTGAACTGGAATCCATCTTTAACCTGGTGCTTTTCCATTTAGAAGGAGGGATGGGAACCCAGAGAGAGACAAAGGATTCCCACCTTGTGCCAAAGCTATTAAAGGGGTGGAACAGAACAAAGGGGGTCCCAGTCATGTTGAATCCCCTGCTTTTCACCTAAGATGCCTGCTGGAACTAACAAGGTCTGTACCAGGGGAAAGGACTGGGCCCAGACTAGGAAGGAGTCTAGTCTGTGAAAGAAACTTATTGGAACATCTCTGAGGGTGAGATTTACCTGTATTCAGTTTCTTAATTAGGCTTAGACTTGTGTGTTTTTGCTTTATTTTACTTGGTGACTTACTTTGTTCTGTCTGTTATTATTTGGAACCACTTAAATCCTACTTTTTATTCTTAATAAAATCACTTTTGTTTATTATTGAACCTTGAGTAAGTGATTAATACCTAGGGGAGCAAACAGCTGTGCATATCTCTCTATCAGTGTTATAGAGGGTGGACAATTTATGAGTTTACCCTGTATAAGCTTTATACAGAGTAAAATGGATTTATTTGGGGTTTGGATCCCATTGGGAGCTAAGTGCTGGAGACAGGAGTACCTGCTCAATGGTTTTCAGTTAAAGCCTGCAGCTTTTGGGACATGGTTCTGACCCTGGGTCTGTGTTGCAGCAGGCTTGCCTGTCTGACTCAACAAGGTAGGGTTCTGGAGTCCCAAGCTGACAGGGAAAACAGACTCAGAAGTAGGTTCAGCACATCAGGTCACAGTCCCAACGGGGTCTCTGTGACCGAACCCATCCATGTTCTGTTCTGCCATGGTTTATAAATATATGGAGATATACCTATCTCATAGAGCTGGAAGGGACCCTGAAAGGTCATCAAGTCCAGCCCCCTACCTTCACTAGCAGGACCAAGTACTGATTTTGCCCCAGATCCCTAAGTGGCCCCCTCAAGGATTGAACTCACAACCCTGGGTTTGGCAGGCTAATGCTCAAACCACTGAGCTATCCCTCCCCTCATGTTTGTGCACATGCAGTTTAGAATTGCCCATGAGCTCCATGGGAGATTGAAGCCAAGGATCTTCTACATTGGGTCTTTCACAGGGTATTTATTTGTGACTTCTTGTGAACTCCATTTGGCTTTCCAAGCTTCATCAGTGTTGAAGTTGCATTGTTGTAGGTTAAATGCCTGAATTCAAAAGGGTGTATGTGACTAAGTGGTGGTGAGGAATGTTGTTAAGGTCGTGGTGGATGGAAAGATGTTCATTTTCCACAATACTCTGGAATTCCCGAAGGCGTCGTGTTTTGCGGCAGGGGATCCACACTATAACAGCAGGTGTCTCGGTCCTACGCAGTAAGGCTTTGTGCTTTCTTCATATCTCATGTTCTACAATCCATCTCCACTAAGGAGTTACTAAGTAAAAGTGGATCAGATAAAAGTTTATTTTCAGGCAGTTACCACCCCACAGTCCTACAATAAACTCTGTCCCACATTTTTCATAACTGTCCTTAACTTACCCTACCAGTGACTAAACTGATACAGGGTGGGAGGAGCATCCTAGCTCAAGCAAACCACATGATAGAGCATTCCTTGTCCTGCAAACCCAAACTGAAATGGGGCAGAATCAAATGCTTCACCTCCAGGGGCCAAACAGAGGAGAATCCTGTATCTTGACCCAACTGACTCAGTGAAATCATTTGGGTCAAGGATTCCTAAGAGCAATGAAGTCCCTGAAGATTCCTGCCATGATAAGCCAAATAGGGAAAAGGGACACATTGTCTGTTGGAAAGAGGATAAATGACACCAAAATGAAGAAGTCTGGGGGAGAGGAAGAGAGAGAGTAAATTTAGAAGTTAAATTGGCCAGGTGCTGCTGCAAATTGTCTACTTGGCTCCAGTTGTAGTTATGAACTATAACAGCCAAAAAGCTGGGATTTTCCAGTCTACTAGATACATTTGAACAGACAGCAGAGAATGGGCTGGTTGCTCTTTTCAGATTTACCCAGATTTTCTGTCCATTTTCTTCTCTTGCTTTGTTACTAAGACATTTAACATTTATGTAATTTTCTGCTGAAATTCCCCCATGACACTTACTAATCCTTTTATAAATCGCTTGGAACAAAGCTGCCGAGATACTTTTTGTTCTGGAAGCTTAGTATGCTTTTCTCACAAACCTTCAACCTTTTGAAAAGGTATAAACCAATTCTGCTTTTCATATATTTTACTCTATTTACCTTTTTTAATTGTAAATAAAATAATTATATTGAATATAGGGAACAGCAGTCATCCAGATGTTTTTTACTTTGGTATTAAATTCCTTAAATTGTGCATTGTACTCCACATTTTCACTGTACAATATACTGCAGATGCTTTCAGTTTCAGAGCCAACAATCCATTAAGATGAGTGGGGGTGGTTGACCACTCAGAACCGGTTCAGGCAGTCTGCAAGCGCAGGCAGATAGATAGTCCAGCATCAGTTCACATTCCATGCATGTTTTCCAGCTTTTCTTCACAACCTGAGGGCTGGAAACAAATTTATTTTTTATAATGAAAATGGAGATTCTCAATCATAGGTGTGGTAAGGAATCAAATTCTAAGTCTGCTGGATCAAATTCTAAGACCACTGAATCATGGAATACACAGAACTTCACATACAAGGAACAATTTTGCATCAACAGCAGGATAAGTTAGATGACAGAATAGGTCTCTTCTCTCTCTAATTTTTATTAGCCAATCTGTCCAGGTAGATTGGTGAGCACATCTACCACTTGTGAAGATTATAAAATCATTCCGTAATGTTGCCTGGCCTATACTAAAATTACATAGCAACTTCCATTTTTGGAGTGAATATTTATGGGCTTATTCTCTTCTCTGCCACATTTTCATTAATTTAAAAGTCAAATTTGGTTTTGAATATCTTCTGTTAGAAGTAATACATAACAAAGCAATTTACAATAGTGTCTTTCTTTAAGCCCTTAGAGCAGGGAGTAATTAGGCAAATATGGCCATCCTTTTGTGCTTAGCAATAAGATAGCTCAAATAATGTCAACAAAAACATTCGTAAGAACTGTCCACTGTAGTAAGTGTGCATAGGATTGGATCCCTGGGAGGACTCGTCTCACTGAGC